TTTTGGTACCCCACATGATCTTAGAAAAGTCGGGCCGAACTGTACAGTAGTTCACCGAAATCCGCGTCGCATCGCCATGTCTTCGTAATTCTCAACCAAGGGCACCATTCGAGCTCAAGCGCATTTTTGATTTATTGAAATGCCCGTTCGGATAGAGTGAGTAGCAAATTTCACAATTTTTCTAGATCTTCGCTTACAGTGTTTACGCAATGGGCAGAATGGAAGAATCATGCGGTTGAACTTCATAAGCGGAAATCCGAAAAGATTCGTAAATCTGACCTCCTGACGTGCAGCTATCGTATACAAACGGGAACTTATATCGGGAAATGCGTTCTGCTAGCTGAATCTAACACCATTAGATTCGGAATTCGTCCTTTAAACCTATATCGACGACGCGATTCAGTGAATTCCGGTAAAATTCGATGAAATTTTGACGAATTTTGAGCCGTACTGTAATCCGTGATCACCGCTTTCTAGTGTATAATTAACTTCTCTTGGGTCATTAAAGGCAGTGTCCGGGCAAAAATTCGATCTTGAGATTTTGTGCTTACCCGGACCTATTCGCTATGCTGAATCCGAAAATGCACATTGGAAGAGCGAAAACGGCGAAAAACGGCTCTAACACGGGAGGGAAATCACACAGATTCAAGATTCACAGTGGGCGGGGTTTTCCCCACTGTGAATTCACGCTCCCAGCTTCCAGAGCGAACTTCTCGGTTCCGATTTCAAGTCATGCATTTGCACCTGGCCGGTGGAGATCTCAGGGCGCTAAAGGAATTGGAAAGATGGCTCCAGAAGCTGGGACTGCGAAATTCACAGTGGGGAGGACCCCGCCCACTTCCGATTTCCCTCCTGCACTAGAGCCCTTTTTGGCCGTTCTCGCGCTTTCCAATGTGGATTTTCGGATTTAGCATAGTGAATAGGCCCGGGTACGCACAAAATCTCAAAAACTACTTTTTGCCCGGACACTGCCTTTAAGTTCATGAGATCTATTTTTTGTTATGGTTTTATCCTTGTTCATGTATGTGTCCTGTAATTCAACTCTCATTCCTGGTTTTTCTTCCGTCCAAATTTTGTTCAAATTTTCTAAAATCTTACGTCATTTCTAACAAATCAGCATCTCTGGCACATACATTGCAATGCTCACGAGTAGGCACAGAACTTGTTCATGGCATCGCAAGGAGAGATGAATTTGTCCAAGCTGCAAAGCTAGAAGACGTTTCAATTTGATAAATCTTATCAATTTATGTTTCCACCAGTGCTTCGCCTCTGCTTCGCAGAGGCTCGCACTGGTCACCACAGAAAGGTTAGAATTACGCCAACATAGATTCTTTCTCAAATCATTCCAAAGTTGCCGGAAGAGTCACCCCTAGTTGAAACGAACACTCTCGCTAACAGATATTATATGCTTAGAATATTGTAAATCATTCCTCACTGCAATTTCGTAACGGCAACGCTTATTATATATCACCGGAGCGTCACCTCTGCTTCGCAGAGGCGCGCACTGTTTCTACTCGGAATGACTTATTCATTCTCTTGTAATCATGACATTGAAACTCATCGCGTCATGATGACTATCACGAATAAGTTGTAAACAATTACGCATCCCAAAAGCTTCTTCATGAGAGATCTAAAAAGGTTGCCACAACCTTGCCAATTGTATCACACCAACCACCACAAGAAACACACGTTTATCGCCGATTACCTAAACTTTAGCAATTGCACCCTTACTCTGCTTGAGATATATACATAAAGAACGAAGAAAAACAGCATGAAAAAGTGACGAAATTGCTAACGAACAGTTGGGACTATGATGACGATAAGTCAAACAAAAATGTCGTGGATATCTCCTGGAATTTGGACTACTTTTAAGAAATGTATAAAAGGAGATTAGAAAGCATTAGGTAGGAGTGTTCTCGGTGCTATCCTATGTACAAGGAATGAGCGAATAGAAAGGCAACACAAGCAATAACATAAGTGATGAGTAGGCTAATATATATGGACGTTCGCTTGCTGGCACCATCATTCCTTCTGCAGCTCCAATCGTTTTTGTCTGTAGTCTGAGGTCTTTTTGTCGAAGGAATGTCGTATCCTGCATCGTGGATTCATTCCTTGGCATTCCTCAATCAGCTTCTTTCTTTAGCATGTTTCAGAACATTGGTTATTTGCAATGCGATCCGCGACATGAATGTCTCAACTAATGCTAAGGGGTCGTTCTCTGGCAACTCTCGTGCATAATATTGCTCAAGTGCATCGCGACCCGTGAAAAGATCGATATTTTGCATGGATGAGACTTCCCGCAGAAGAACATGCGCAGATTTGACCAAGTTTTTGGAATTTTTATTGTTTGCTAGCTGCCATAGGAACAACAATCACCGTGAGCTGCATCTCTAAGCAAAAATAGTGCTCAGGTAAAATCTTGAAAAAGTGACTATTTACACAGCCCACTTCTTTTTGCAGCCGCAATTGTGAAGAAGTAAACTTTTGACTACTTTTCTGGCAAAACCATGGTTTGCACATCAATTTGCGACATATCCATGGTCTGCAAAAAGTGGCACTACAGAACAATTTTGCTGATCAGAGGCCAAGTGGGTCCGTTTGATGCGCATTTTAAACGGATCTACTCAGTGAATCCGCTCATGCTTTTGTATAGTGGATTTTCATGATTCTAACATGCCTATGCAAAATTTGGGCTCAGGACGCTGACTGGAACGCGCTTCACAATTTCGTAACGGACACACACACACACACACACACCACACACACACACACACACACACACACACACACACACACACACACACACACACACACACACACACACACACACACACACACACACACACACACACACACACACACACACACACACACACACACACACACACACACACACACACACACACACACACACACACACACACACACACACACACACACACACACACACACACACACACACACACACACACACACACACACACACACACACACACACACACACACACACACGCACACACAATGTAAACAACCCTTAGCCCGTTATTATAAGTTACTAGCTGGGATACCCGGAAAATTCCATTTTTTAACCTATCCGAAACAACCTTGGCACACATACACTTCGGGCCCCAGCGGGTGTCACAGTCCACTTTTCGTTATCGATTGATGTTGATTTTATCGACTTTTTGCAAAATTTGAGCTAGAGGGCTGGAATTTGGCAGAGGGGTGTAATCGAGCATGCTGATCACCCCCACGGGGGTGATCAGCATGCTCGATTACCCCCCCCCCTGTGCCAACCAGCCCCGTAGCTCAAACTTTGCAAAAAAATCCATAAAATCGATAAAAGTAATGCACGATTTTGAAAACTAATCTTGTATTCGGAACCCCCATGCTCACACCCCCCTGTGCCAACTCCCAGCCCCTTAGCTTAAATTTTGCATAAAATCGATAAAATCGATATCGATCGATACGAAAAGTAGCCTATGACACCCGCCGGGGCCCGAAGTGTATGTGTGCCAAGTTTGGTCCGGATCGTTCAGAAATGGAATTTTCTATTCGGAGCATACGCACAGACAGACAGACATACATACAGACATACATACAGACATACAAACAGACATTCAGCTTTATATATAAGACTAGCTGCCTTACCCGGCCTCACCCGTATTGAGGATTCATCTGGCTCAACGGAGAGCAAGAAGCAAGTGGCGCACAACTTTTAAAGCTCAACTCACTGCGTTTTGGCTTTCTTCTACTTCTCGTGCAATAAGCGCTTGTGCTCTCTGATGTATCTCTAGCCTTAAAGGCATTGTCCAGGCAAGTGAAAGCGCAAGGTTTTTCGCCTGGAAATTGATGAGGTGTTCCTAACTAAAACATGCCTAAGGGCAGCGCAAACGGTTCATTCAAGGCTGAGGGAACCTCCTCAGTAACCCCTCCTGCGCCGTGACCGTACCGTAGGAACGATAGAAGAAAATAAGTGAAAATTCGAATTTTCTGTGTAGGGTCATAAAAAATCGAAAACTTGCAATAATTAGAGCAGTCGGTATTGTAGGTTCTCTTTCACCAGCTCTCTCTAACAGTGCGAAGTTTGCGCCGATTGAGCATCTCTGTGAAAAGTTACAATTTCCCTGAAAAATGCCAAAATAAATCAAATCCGCCCTTTTGTATTGCTTGCTCGAGAATCGTAACTTTTCATAGAGACGCTCAATCGGCGCAAACTTTGCATTGTTAGAAAGAGCTGGTAAAAGAACCTACAATACCTACTGCTCCGCTTTTTGTTGCAAGAATTCGAATTTTGACTAATTTTCTTCTATCGCTCCTATCTATGGAATAGATGATTATTAGCAGGCAGCTAAGATGTCATTATAAAAAGCATGACTTACCCTTTCATAAAAAAATAAGAGCGATCCAATCGGTTGGAAAATTCAGAAGTTATGAATTTTTGAATTTGGTGGAAAGAACTTTTGCACCGACCCAATACTTCCCTCGTAAGTTGATGCCAGCACACAGATCTATTTGCTGTAGGAACCCCTGCATATCAATTCACAACTCTTAGAAAGATTATATAGTCTTTCCCACGGTGTGGAAAAGCTTCATAACCGTCACGGGAGTACGTTCTAGGTTTCAAGTTTTTTACGTCACCACTATACCGTACTTTCACGTGAATCTTAACATAAGAAACATCTTTTCTTGATACTCAAATGAAACGTTTCTCATAGACAGTCTCACTGACATAAATTATTCTAATAGTATTCGAAAATCGAATGTCGAGAACCGAATAGTATTCGAAATTCGAATATCGAATGATATTTGACTTTCGAATATTATTCGATTCGGAAATGTCCATTCCCGAACAATTTTCGATAGTCCAATACTCGAAATTTTTGATTTTCAAATATTATTCGATATTCGAATCGAACAATTTCGAATTTTCCTAAGTATAATGTGTAGTGCAATTACTTTTTATCTCTTACTTTTTATGTCTATCAAAGTATTTTTTCAGCAGCAGCGAAGAACCCACTTTCACATTCTGCTAATCCCCCATACGCTTCATGGCATCGTCCTCGAACATCGGAAATACGCTTCCGACGACTCATGTGCCAGTCTCTGGTGGAGTTACGCCAGTTGGAACAATGGTGCATGCTGAGAAACTCTCCACGACTACAACACCGACTAGCAAAGATAAGAAAAAGAAGGGTGAACGGCCTCGAATCCGAAAAGAAGACATTAGTAATTCTACAAACTTCCAGTGAGTGTTGCTTGTACAGTTGTTCTCTAAAGTATCACTCGTTCTGGAATGATATCCACGAAAGTCCATAATGGAGGAAAATGGACTTTCAAGCCCCATTTTATTCGTTCGCGGTGGAGAGTGGTCGGAATCTGCTTTCGCTCGCGTTATCCAAAAATTTTCATCCCATCGCAACCACGAGGCAAAGCGGTGAAATGAAAATGATTTAACCCTACTTGAGCTCTCGCTTGCGAAGTGATGACGTCAAAAGTCCATTTAGAATGGGGCAAAATGGGATTTACCTCCATTTTAAATGGACTTGAAAGCCCATTTTACTCCCAGCAGCAAGGTGAGCTGGGACTAAGCCCATTTTTGACCTTTTTGCATATTTTTGATTGCGATTTTTTGGGAATGTGTTCCTCAACCTATCCTAAAGTAATAGGTGAGTAGAAAAAGTTTCATGTCTTTTATGAAGTCTGAAATAAGTGTTTCTTTCTAAACTCATAGAAACGCTATAAAAACATAGAAAAAAATCAAATTCGCCCAAATATTCGCTAACAAGCCCAAATGCTTCTTAATATCAGGTCAGTCAGAAAATTCTTATGTAAAACAAATAAAGTTTGTTAACTCTTCAAATCATCAACCAAAACCAAATTCATGATTTGTAATCTAAAATTTGAAAAAAATTGTACTTCAGTGTGATTACTTAGAAGCAGGGTTGAGCGTGGGGTCAGGCGCGCCCGACCTGGGGGGTCGTACTGGGGTAAGACAGAGGGGGGGGTCGTGATTAGGAATCGAATTCGTTCGATTGAGGAGATACTACGATTAAGGTGAAGAAGAAAAGCGCTAGTTTAGTGGATATCGCGACCTTACCAGTACTGAAGGAATGAACGGTCTTAAACAGCATACTGATTGATTCCACAATCGAAGTTTCGGCCAAAACTCAAATCTTCGTCTTCTACCTTGACATATTATAAATTCATCAAGGAAGCTTGCTGTGTGAAATGGGTATATTTCCGAGCACCCAAATTACCTCTATGAGCCCTACAAACCGTTATTTACTGCATTATCTAGTGTTTCTCAACGACTAAAAAGCGTGATTTTCAAACATGATTAACTTGTTTTCAAAAGTGAGAAAAGTCAATTTTTTTGTACTCGTAACAAAGTATTGTTCCCTACTAGTCTAGACTAAAAATCGCGCTTTGTATCGCTTGCAAATAGTGGAGTAAGAAATAATGCCAAAATTCCGACTGGCGCGTTTTTCGCTATGACTGCTTCAACTCCACGGATTACCACAAGGCCGAAACAAGTCGAATTAAGTCCAAACACTTACTGTGGAATCTTCGAGGGTTGTGCTAGCGATTCACATGAAACTTGAATAAAAAAGCTCCTTCAATGATAAAGTTAGTCGGGTCAGGCGCAACCCCACAAAAGGTCAGGCCGCCTGAGCTTTTGAGGGGTTGCGCCTGACCCGATTAACTTGTTTTCAGAATTTGAAAATCGCTCCATTTCTGCTATAAGTATTGAACTCAAAGCCTCTTCTTGCAATACTGCAAATTTGGAGCTAAACAATACACCCCTGTGGGAACTATAGCTCTAAAAGTAGGGCTATCCAAAATCCAAAACTTGCCGTCAAGTTGCGTGTGCTGTGCAATTGCAGAAAGTCTACCTACAGACCTCCAAAAAGCAAGAATTTCCCAAAAACGGCTGGTCTCTTCGAATTATCACAGCCTGAGGTCCTGGAGGTGAAGCAGAGGGGTCGTTTAGGGGCTTTCATTGGGGGGGGGTCGTTCTGGAAAGATTTGTGCCTGACCTCTTGCTCAACCCTGCTTAGAAGCTATCTTTGGCTAATTTCGTAGAACCGAACCTCAGAGACGGCATTTTAAACGCAATTTTGAGTTTGGTCCGCAAGAATTACTGAAGTGCCGCTAGCTAGCTAGAGAAATTCCGTTAAAAATTCCTTACTAGATTAGTCATACATTCAAATCCTTAGAGTTACAAATATTAGTGCTGAAAGACAAAGAAAAGCTAATATAGAGCACTTGCGAAGTCATCTTTTGGGATTCAAAGTTTTTGCGACTTGAAAAACCCTTTGAGTTGTAGTGTAGTACAAGGTTTCTTGTAAGGAGCATTTTGGTTCACAGATTGCAGTGCAACTCCAGCCAAAGTTTGCTTTTTGCAGAAATCTCCACATACGAATTCGATTTAATGCTGATTCGTAGAAGTTTTGAAGCGAAGGCCCGGATATTACATGAATTTCAGTCTTGGAAGTGATTTAGATGCATAATCATCGATAACGAATGGCATTCTGTTAGGTGTAACGAGGTGGGAAAGAATAGAACAGCCATTTGAGTGACATTGTAATGTTAGGTCAGCCTAGTTAGAGATCGACCACTTGGTGGAAATGAGTTTGCAAGAGTGAGCAAACAGGTTGAGACAAGTTGGAGAAAGGTTAGTTGAAGCATTTTTGTATGGAATGAATGTATTCGCGAATGCGATATCTTATCGCACCGCATGGACTAAGTCCATTTTATTCGCACGAAAAGCCCATTTCGCGGGGACTTTCGTGGATATCATTCCTGGACTCGCTTTCCAAAACTTTCGAATATGTAGATGTGAAGTATCTGGAACACGTTCTCCCCATTTCGCCTTCTTCCATAGCAAGCAGATTTTCAATGTCACTGCGCTTTCGTGTGTTTGCTCAGTAGATCATGGCCTCGTTAAGCTGCGCACTGCGAAAAAATGGGAGGGGGGGGGGGGTGAGAGGAGACAATAAAGAAATAAAGAAAGATTGGAAATAAAGATCTTTTTAGACGCAAAGCACACGTTGGTTGGGATCAAGACAATGGATTTTCTAATAATATGTGTGACTCAGAACCTTTGGACGAAAGCATTAAGTAATTTTTCGAACCATTCAAATTTTTCAGCTCTTGAATGAGTTTTCAGGAACATCATCATAGCAGCCGGTCAGGATCCTACAAATATGAACAAGAAGACTATCAAATTTGTACTTGATTTCATAGAAGACTATAAAGACGAGGAACAGTAAGTTTCATAGCAATAAATTATAAAATGCGTTTACTTGCCTGTTCAAGGTCAACCCAGTCGAACAAGGCAGCTGTCCATTTGACTCCTCAGTGTAGTCCTGTGCCTCCTCCACCTCCGAATCGTACTGTCTCTCTTAAAACAACTAGCCGTCCTGCTCGTCCACCGCCGTCTCCTCCGTCTATTACTTCATCACCACCATTTGGCAGACCATTGCCTCAGGTTTCCTTGATTATTAGATGCATGAAACTGGCTTATTTTGCTGCTGTTCAATTTTTTACTATACAAGATTTCGCATGTATCTTGCAAGCTGTCTGTGTTCATGGTTGAGTTGGTCCTTGCCTATCAAGTATAGTCTTAAGAAACCTTCAGTTTTTCCGAGAGACTAGTGAACCAGCAATCTAAAGGTGCTAGATTAGCAGGCGCGCTTCGGGACCCGCCGCGGTTTTCCGCTATTCGAAGATTTTTGAATTGAGCTAACGATCTTTATATATTAGATTGACTTGACCGTCTAATTGTGTTAGCTGGTTTTCCCTTTGCAATTTCACGTTTTATAATTCATTGCTCTAAAGGCAGTGGCTCGGCAGAATGAGACCCATGGAAAAACAAAATCACAGGGTAGGAGCCCTCATAGTGAAACCTATAGGCCAAAGTTCGATCTTTCTCTGTTACTTCTAACCCCCTTTCAATGCGAGACAGCGCTCATCTCCCCTCCTCTCCGACCCCGCCCAACTAATTTCAGACATAATAAAGTGGATGCAAAGCCCGCCATGGCGAAGGCGCAGAGTCGTTGCGGGACCCTTATGCTTATAGCGGCATGCGCGCTCTGCCAGTGGAAGATCGCAAATTGGGCGGGGTCGGAGATGAGGGGAGAAGCGCTGCTTTCGCGTTGCATTTTCGGGGGTTAGAAGTGGCAGAGAAACATTGAACTTTGACTCATAATCTCGCTATGGGGGCTCCTACTCTGTGACCTTGTTTTGCCATGGGTCTCATTCTGCAGCCACTGCCTTTAATGAGTTTGCTGCTTCTTTGTTTACATGGCATGAAATAGGCGAAGATTTGCAATGTGACTGACTAATGTTTTTCAACTTTCATCAGCGCGAGAGCTTATGTTCGATCATTTGTATGACAATGCAGAACTCAAGCTGTCTAGATGTTTGCAGATAATTCTCGGGGAACGAACACTTGGCATGGCACGAAAGTTCGATTTCGGCTTCACGAAATCCCAGAACTTTTCTATATGAGAGAATGAATTGAATGATTGAGTGTGGCGTCAGCAGCGTCTTCCAAAAAAATTTTTTAAACGTTTTCTGAAGTTTTCACGGGTGTATGACCCCAAACCTCAAGAGAAGGGGGCGGTGACAGTCATGTCTCAGAAAATAATTATGAAGTTATCTGATTCTCAGATTTGCAAAACTACCGGCGATTCAAAATACGCAAAGTCTGGGCGCCCTTGTGTCCGAGCAAGATAGCTCTGCATGGGAGAGGCAGCAGATGGTAAGAGAAACGAGAGAGCTCCTGATCACAGAGACGCAGATGGATTCGCAGTCTTTGCGTGCTACATCGCCCATATACTGATTACATCGTGCATTCCTCAGAATAGTAAACTTTCAACGTGGCTGCCTTTCGATCGTTTTAACACGTCAATTCCAGCAAATACTATGCGCTTATTCGAAGTTTACATGTTAAGATGATCGAAAGACAGCCACGTTGATGGTTCATATGGAAACATTTCTGGGGTATGATACATGAATTGTTGGTACATTGTCAGCTAGTGCGTGTTTTATGGAGATTCTTGTGTGCGGACCGATCAGCACCAAACTTTTCACACATACGTTTCCGACATCAGTCCAACCAAGAGCTTACTGTTTACTTGGGGAAATCAGCGCTTGAGTGACTGGATCTCGCTCATGGAGATGACTACTGGGAGAGATACTTCTTCTTCTGCCTAAGAATTTTGGAAGGAGGGGGAGGGGATGGAATCCATCAGTATAATACAAGCAAAATTTCGAATCCCATACTGCTTATCAAAAAAGTAAACGAAATTTGCTGCAGATCACTATTAGTATCATTGAACCTGATCCATAAGACAGAGTTTAAAATTTCATTTCAAAATTATAAGTTGAAGCGAATGTCATTTTCAGCAGCGTCTCATTGAAATGGAGGATGAAGGTGCAAAACGAACAGCTGATCAACAGCCAGCCGATGCTATCAACTCCATATCCAGACGATTAAGCCAACTCTACGTCGATGGTGATCGGCTTTTGAGAGATGCAAAAGGAGTACCGGAACGATACAGAAAATTTGCAAAAGAGTTGGCTGATGAATGCAAGAAAGCCAAAACTCTTCTGCAGAATGCACCAAAATCTCATTGTTCAATAGAAGCCCTCAAAGAAATTCTCTCTCGCGCTCATTTCGTGCTCTCAGCCTTGCAAAAACGTGCTAACAACTGGGATGCATTTGTGCGAATAAGAGAGGAATTGAAAATTGAATTGAACAATCTGCGAAAGCCACTCGAAGAAGCGTTGCGAAAACCAAGAAGATTTATCAGTGACGTTAGAAAGGACTTCAAGGTAATTTCAGAGGAGCATAGAAAGGCGACTATTTGTTACAAAGTTCGTAAACTTCAACAGCTCTCTGAATTACTTGAACCCCTGGAGAGCCCTCGTGCAGATGCTCGATTCTTCCACATTAGCGCACAACAATTAAAGAAGGAGTACAAAGAAGCATTGAATGAGATGTCAGCTGAAATTGAGGACGAGTATCTGCGCTGTGACGAAATATTTCACTTCAACGTCGAGACGAGTTCCATCATCTGCGATTTGCTAGACAGAAAGCCCAACCAGGAAATTATTGAGAATGTCGGAAAGTTCCGACTTCCGGCACTTCAAGCACAACTAGCGGCGCTAAAGAAGAAATACGAAGAGGCTAACCACGCTTGTAAGCATGTGTGTCCAGACCCCTCTCTCATTGCTCGCCAAGAAAATCTTATGAAGAGCCTTGTCTCGAAACTAGACGATGCCAAGAAAACTTCTAAGAAGAACGAACTCAAGCGCATCCTCGTCAGAATAATCACCGAGCAACTGTCGCAACTCAAAACGATTCCTATTTCCGAACTTACCGAAGATTCACTGAATGAGATGGAGAACCAAATTCAAACTCTTCCTAGAAACCAGGCTGATGAACTTCAGAGGCAAATCGAAAACTTACGAAATGTCAAAAAGCAGCACTTTTCTGTTCATCGCACTGTCTTGACACACGTCGAAGATGCAACTGCTGCCTTTCCAACAGCACAAGAAATTTCTCAAGAAAATTCTTCTCTAATGAAGGTGCGTCCAAAGAAAGAATTTTTTCCTCTACTTAAATTTGGGGAAGCATTTGGACAGTTATCCAATTGCATGTTACTTATGCAAGAAGTTTTACACTGACCTAGTATTAGATCTGGGGGGTACGAACGCACCTTAGCCCTAAATCAAATTACACTTAAATTTGTGAAGACCTCAAGGTATGCTTACTACAACCACACTTCGAGAGCTTGTGTGCAAGAAAATGTGACATTTATTATCAGCATGACAATAATTTCCGTAGAAGAAGTTCAAGCGATATCTATGACTTTGATATTTTTGAGACCGCATCAAAATGGACCCCATCACGGATCGCTGTTAATTTGAAAAGGACTCTTTTATCCACACAGCCGCAACAGTGCAGACAATTTTGTGTAGACGAAGTGCAGGAAACTGACAGAAGACGTTATGTTTCCAAAATCTTGCGAACATTCGTAAAAAGTTATGCATAGCCACTCGCCGCAGGCAGTCCCCGCGGATATCTGTGCAACAAATAACTCTCGCTTGTATGGTGCATGCCCCAGAATTGTTCCCATATAAACAATCAACGTGGCTGTCTTTCGATCATTTAGGATGTCAACTTCGAATGAGCGCCTTGAATTCGCTGGATTGACATGTTAAAACGATTGAAAGGCAGCCGCGTTGACGGTGCATATGGGACAAATTCTGGTGATGCACGATATGTATTAAAGGCACCGTCCACCCTAAGTTGAAGGTGTTGAGCTTTTGGCAGCTTATAACAGTAGGGCCACCTATCACGCCAATGCCCAAGTCGCGGCGCAATATGCCGCTTCGGAAGCCAGAAAATCGCTTCGGAATAGCGAAGACGCACGAGGACCCCCTACTCATGCCCACCCCTCCCCAACCATGCCCGCCCATTTGTGCGCGCTCATCCAATCACCGTTCTGGAAAGCCGGCCAGTGGGTTCTCCGGAATGGGGATTGACGAGGTTTTTGCGGATTCTCGACTCATATTTGGAATCAGGGACATGAGAAGGCCCTGAAATGACAAAAACTCGGAAGTCGAGAATTTGGGTGGACGGTGCCTTTAAGCGGTGCGTTCACATTGCGTGTGTCCACGGGCGACCCTGTAGGGTATCTCCCTCTACCCCTGATGGTGCTAAATACGCGGGGGTGGAGCCCATCGGCAACACATTCGTCTTCCTTCTTGTTAACACTTTCCCATAAAATCTCGATGCATGGATTTCGAAATTGAGGAAACATTTGAAGGGAGACGGCCCTTCTGTACCGCTAGCATTAGCAGCCTAATTACTGCGCGCCTCTGATTGGTCGGTGCTGCCGCCGCTTGGGTAGGCGAGAGCTACGCTATCGTTAGAAACGTCTGAATTGAACTGCAAAGGAATTCTCATGGTAAAAAGAATCAAACAAGATTTCGTTTCCCATGAAATTCGAAAATGTTTTATGTCGGCGGCTTAGATAAATTCTTTAGCTTACACGTGCAGACTTCATGGTGTTTTGTAAACTGAGAAGGGCGAAGAAAAACCACGAAATGGCCTAAAAACATGCAATCTTTCTAACTTTTTGAATTCATAATTCAAACATCCTCACTATCATTATTCGTTGCCTCACTTGCTTTGGAATGCTCAGAAATATTTGAAAACTCTGTTAGATTATTAGAAAGGCGAAGTAATTAGGGCGGGCAGAGTAATTAGCGCTAGGACGGAGCGGTTCAGAAAGGCATACACCCACATTTGAACTTTCGAGTGCGAGCTCATTGCAATGACTTCTTAGTGTCTCAGGATCCAACCCCTCAAAGCGCTCGCGCGAGTTGGAGTAGCGGCGCGGCACGACTGCGCAAGCAGTCACATGTTACATTATCGTTTGCATTGTTTGTTTTACGATCTGCTGCTGTAATCGGATTGCTACAGAACTTTTCGAAGCTTACGATGGGCACGGCGTGTCCTGCGAACTGTGGACGCATTTTGAAAGTGGAAGTACAAGTGCGCGATGGGTAAGTGTGATTATTATCTTCTTGCTTTACATCTTCAGTCGTGTTCGACTACGTGAGACAGAGTAGTTTTCCTATGGCTGCAGCTCCGATAGTAAGCTCCATGTCTCTTGCACACGAACTGAGATCAAAGTCACAAGGAGTGAAAACAGTGCAGTATCATTAGGGAGTGACTGTAGATCCACCCTTATCTTTATCTTTATCTTTATCTATTACACTCGAGGTGCACCAAAAAATGAGTAAAAGCACAAACCAACCTAAACACACTGCATAGAAAGTAATAAATAAGAATATTATTACACTCAAAAACCTCAGACCCATTCGACGGTATAAGACGGAACAGATCTATACTGCATAAGGGCAATACATAAACTTTTAACGTTATCAAGGCTTTAATCTGAGGGCATTTTTGGAGGTATTACATTGAGCTCAAGATAACGGAGTATGATGGGATGTGACCCATCACTCTCGAGTGGTACGCTTTGGCGGTTAGCACCTAGGCGATATGGCGAAATCCATGCGTACCTAGGACTGTTTCAACTACCCGACGCCCCCACTACCTCCGTGTTGAGCGGCGTGCAGCGGCGTGCAATTCAACAAGAATGCAATATCAGAGAAAATGACAACGTAGAAGAAAATATTGCAGTGAGATTCCATTTGTAGGTCTAAATAAGTATTATGTGAAATAGATATTGCCTTTACATCAAGTATTGAAATAGTCATAGGTATGCTCAGACAATCGCCGGGGGCAGGCGGTCCGCAAACTCGCATTTTTTCTGCAGGCGCTCAGCAGAATTTTGGGGCGTGGCCAAACCTTCAGCGGGCGGCACTTCCTTTACTGTCTAATGTTCTGCCAGCGGGCAGCAACACAGAATTTTCTGCAGGCGCTCGTCAAATAATCTCTTTCAGCGAGCGCTGGTCAAATTTTCAGCTGGCGCTCGGACGGTTTTTAAGCAGTTTCGGGTGTACGCCGAGCAAAGGTGAGACTCTACATGGCAGAGGAGTCATCAATGGTTTAATTACTCAAGTTTGAGGTACTTTCTCTTAGCGGAAAGTACCTGGGGGCTGCGCGGTCCTCCATAAAGGGCCGTGCGGCCCTCGAAAATTTTGCATATTCTCGCGGAAAGTCCGCGAGAATGCGGCCACTGCGCCGCAGCTAATCTGCAAGGAAACCGCAATTGTTCTTCAAGCATTCGTCCGAAATTTCGCTAAAATTCTTCCAAATATCTGCAAGCAGACAGCAAGAAATCAGCGAACTATTTTTCCGGTGCCCGCTTGCCCAAAAATGGCATGGCCGCCTGCCCCCGGCGCTCATCTGAGTGGATGAACGTTTTGAGTGTAAGTCGAGTCATCCATACCCTTAGCTGGGGATACATCGACTGGAGCAGGAAACTCGTTTAGAGCGCCCTATCCTACTCTTGTTTTTCCAAGTGTGTTGACGAAGAGGTTGATTTAAAACATTGACGACCGCTTGACGCACATGTTGTGTCAAGCAATGACTAGTATGGGACCGCTTGACACACCATGTGTGTCAAGGCTTGAATTTTGTTAAAAACTATTCTGAAATAAACTCACTCCAAGAGCTTCTTCTTGCACTGAATTCAAAGATGACGTCCACCTTTTGTCACCCTTTTTGATTCACTGTAGGTGTACTATAGATGGCAATAGGCGTAACTATAGTTGAAAAATGTGGGCTGGTCTGTAAACGCCTTGGTCCCAGAAGGCAGACAACCAAAAATCCGCATGGTCGTCAAAGTGTTACAAGCAGTGGCTCGGGAAAGTTGCAACTGCGGGCTTTCCACGACTGCAATGCCTTCTGGACCAGCTGAGTCCGGTACTGCGCTTGAAAAGTCAAAAAAGTGCTTTTTTGGCGTTTCCGGGCCTCGGAGATTGCTGGGGAGGCGGGGCGAGGGATTCACCCCAAAATGAGCAACCGGCTGCAGGAGACTGTAACTCCACCTATATTGGCGGCAAACTGTATTACGATGGCTGCCTAGGCTGATCAGGCTATTGCCGCCAAAATAGGGAGTGATAGTCTCCAGCAGCCGGTTGCTCCTTTTGGGGTGAATCCCTCGCCCCGCCCCTTTAGCAATCTCCAAGGCTCGGAAACGCCAAGAAAGCAATTTTCGATCTTTTAAGCGCAGTACCGGACTCAGCTGATCCAGAACGTCATGTAGTCGTGAAAAGCCCGCAGTCGCAATTTCCCCGAGCCACTGCCTTTAAGCACTCCAAAACTTCTGGAATGATATCCACGAAAGCCCCCGCAAAATGGGCTTTTCGTGCGAATGAAATGGGCTTAGTGTGTGCGGTGCGATAAGATATCGCATTCGCGAATCCATTCATTCCATACAAAAATGCTTCAGCAAAGCTTCCTCCAACTTACCTCAACCTGTCTATTAATTCTTACAAACTCTTGTTCACCAAATGGTGGACATATAACTAGGCTGACCTAACATTACAATGTCAGTCAACTAATCGATCTATTCTTTCACATTCCGCTAAAGCTCACAAAACGTCCTTTATTATCTACTAGTTGGCTTTCCCGGTCCAGACCAAGCCCTCGCCAACCGCGTCCTCCTCCTGAGGTGAAAATGAGCTTTACCACCCTCCTTTACATGACTATGGCAAAATGCTTGATCAAACATGATAAGCCTTCAATCCCTTAGAAAAATGTAAACAAATCAATAAATCGATAGAAGGACCCAGTGAGTCGCCGCAAAAAGTAGCCTAAAACCTTACCTTCGATACATAGAGCCACGTACTCTGGTGACCTTCACTTTGAGCGTCATGATAGAGCACAACCTTCACTTAGAGAGAAGTCATCCGAGGCGAAGCCCCGGATATCATGGCATAACTAGACATATCCATATAGGGAAAGATGTGAATGAGGTCAGTATGGTAGTGACATCCAAAAGAAGCTCAAAAAACCGAAGGATTACGTTTTTATGGCCCTTTCTTGCCAAAAAGACTTTTATTCAAAAATTCAATGAGGAACTGGAGCAAAATTTCTCAATTAATCTTTCTCTAGACTTCGAGTGAGCGTTGGAAGTTCATGAAAGCAGCTGGAGTTAAATAGAAATGAGAAACTGCGCTCAAATCTTGCGCAGAGAGTCGCTACTTAAATGCTGGTCTATCTCGTTATGGAGTGATTTTCAAGACCCGCGACGCTGTCAGTCCTCCTGGGCGTCTCATGAGGATCACAACGATATATAATGTTACAGGGTTTCGCTATGATCCTGCGGAGATCAATGACCAGAGCCAAATGCCCCGCCGGCTCTGGTCTGTCTCCGCTGCTCGTCTGCGTCTCCGCGACTTGCGCGCTACCTCGCTACCCCAAAAGCGGGGCGCGGGGCATTTGGCTCTGGTACTCTTTTCTTCGTTGTTGAGAGCCCAATTTCGACAATCTATATATCATATTAAAGCTCTTGATCTCTATTTTCACGCTGACAACGTCACAAGACTCCTTTTTATGATTTAAATGAGAAATATAGGAAAAACGGAGTTTTCGAAAACCTCTTGTTTTTTCTTCAGTTCAACTCTTTTCACTCGGTTTTTTTTGTGTATTCGATAGATCTTGTTTCTGTCTATGATGTAGACAACGTCGCCGAGCTTACTTCTTTGCTTATGCCGGTTTTTTTTTGTGAAAATTACCAAAAAGTAGTTTTTCTTTACCTTGTTCTTTTTCAATGCTTTTGCAACGAATTTTCTCCAGCTTGGACGTTACTTGCTCAGAAGGATGAGCGGAAGAATCCAGACAACGTCGCAGGATACGAAACGACCATGCGGGGGTGAAAATTTAAAGGACGCGTCAAAAATCAGATTGGCGTCGATGTGCAGCATAACTTTTCAGACATGTTTAACATGTTCAGTTCAGTTGTTGAAGTTGTTGACAAGTTTGCCTTCTTTCGGTCTCCCAACTACCGCCACAGCTAACGCTTTTTTTTCAATTAGAAAAGAACTTTGTTTCTGTTGCCACCCAATTTAACCGGCAATTCTGAAGACAAAAATGTGCGTAGGAAACCACCAAGATAAGGTTTTAAATTTGGTGATGTGATAGCCTCTGTTTTATATGAATTTCTCAAGTTTCCTGGTTCAATTCAAATCTCTAAATTTCCATCTATTTTTTCTAAAACAACCTTCACTATTTATAGGGGGCAAGAACTCAAACAACTATCACTTTCTAGGCTCTGTCTCTTGACTATCGAAGGTATGCCTAAAACCGTCTCCGCGGTCGAAAACATCTGTGTGCAAACTTTCAGCCCAATTGGTTGAGCGGTGCGCATTTCTATAACTCACATACCCTCCAAACAGACAATTACTGAGTTTTATATATATAGAGAAGACGATGCATCTCAATACTTCCAATCCAACTAAAGTCCATGTAACATTCGCACCTTCGCTTTTCAAAACTTCTATGAATCTGCATTGAATCAAATAAGCAAAGGTTTGCTAGACTTGCACAGCAAAAATGGATTCTGTGATATATAACTAGGCTTATCTTACGGAAACTTGTACTACATCACATCCCAAGGGGTTTTCTAAATTGCAAAAGCTACGTGTGCAAGATGACTTGGCAAATGCTCTACTTGGGGATTCTCAAAGACGTCTAAACACTGTAATGATTTTTCTACCAGTGGTATCTGCATCGAGTACATTGTGAGAAGAATTACCAGTCTACGCGAATTCCAAATTTGCAAATTTTCAAATTATAAGAAGCAAAACTTCCAAAATTCCCATACAAATATGGCCAAAAGTCCTACGGATTTGCAACTTGCTCATACAAATCGCACACCACATCAGACACCTATACGTACCATTCCTGTATTTTTTCCAATCAAGCAAGCGAAAGTTTTCATTATATAAAAACAAAGCTGTCTGTTTCCATCCACATAAGTGTATACTCACGTCAGAAGTATAACCGTAAATTTACAACTTTCCACAGGCTCCAGTTTTCGAGAATTATCGGTTGGTTTTAACATGGAACACCCGAGTGAGAAGAGCTAAATTTGATAGTTTTGAAGAACTGAGGCCTGTGGGAAGCTAAAAATTTACGGTTATACTTCTAAGGGCTTGTACAAAACAATTATATGAGTGGGAACAGCGTAGCTCGGTTTCTATACGAGCGGAAAAATTCGTTTTCTCGATTTCCAGATGAGGAAGAAACACAGGATCGATACATGTGAGTGTTTGATGTGGTATGCAATTTGTGTGAGCAAGTAGAAAAACGTAGGATTTTTTTTTTGAAGATATGAATTCCCCCTATTTTTTCAGCCTTCAGTATTACTCAGATTCTGGCTGCAAATTAATGGCGAATCGAAGCCGGTGCAGAATTTCTTACACCATCTTATAGAGCTTGCTTTGCTCTTCCAGATGGTACCCAGTAGCTCTGTCAAGGATATGAAGTGTACAACTTATCGTCGTAGAAAGTTAAGGTGTAATAAGACTTATGCTACAACGCAATATATGACTTATTTAGCATTTCTTTTATTATTCCGTAAGAGAGTTAAGTTCTAACTAATCTAACTGTTCCCAGTAAGAAATTTTTTACAGAATTACTCTAGCTATCTAGCTGCAATTCAGTAATGCTTGCGTCCAAACTAAAACTGCGAATTTTGAAGTGCCGTGTTTGAGGGCTGTTCTACGAGACTAATCAAAAAATAGCTTCTGAGTAACTATCTTGAAAGCAAATCTCTTTTATTTTAAAATTCAAAAATATAATTTAGTTTTGTTTGATCATTTGAAGGGTTTAACAAAGTTTACTTGATCTGGGAATTCTCAGTACTTCTAGGTATGAGTTCAGTAGTGAATGATTACTGCTTTCGTACTGATCACTTCCAGCTGTTCCAGAGAAGCTGCAATACCTGATTCGGAGTTTACAAAGCCTACGGAATTCAACAACACTTGCATTGCCTTCAAAAACAGTGACATGCGTGTTTTTGTAAATAAGGAGGTTGCTACTGGCTTGTGTGTTTTGAAAAATAAAAGCTTCCTTTGTTCAGTACCTAATGATGAACTCGCAAAAATTTGCGACGTTATTTACACCGGAGCGCGCTGAATCTCCTGCTTCCAATTTGGATAGGTCCGAGTCGGGCGATGATTTCGACATTCCGAGCTCGCGGTCAGATTCCCATCAGGGTGTTTTCTTTTGTGCAGTGTCGTTTTTTTAGGGCTAGTATGCCTGAACAGCCCTCGAGAGATGACAGCGTTCTCAATGTCAATCTTTTTTCTTCTCATGGTATGTTTAAGAGTTGCGTTTAAGCAAAGCAGTAATGTTAGGTAATCGTAGTTAGCTTCGGAAGCATGTTTGGCTACAAAAATAGACAAATTTATATCCAAAGTCCTGCAACCACTTCATATACACCACAGTTTACCTCATACGCAGTGTCCTTTCCCATAGGCATCTGTTGCGCCAGAGCCTAGCTTCATGTTAGCGCATGTGGGCTCTTCATATACACCAAAGTTCGTCCTGAGAAGGCGCTTCAAAGGTCCACCAGCCCCGCCCACTTCCGTTGAGAGGGCGTCATTGGTGCCCTTCTGAAGCGCGTTCCTAGGAGTCCATTTTATCAATCACTGCCTTTGAGACAGACTGTGAATTTAATGCAGTTCGACGTTCGACTCATGAAAATGAAAGAGTTTGGTATTGCTTCTTAAAAAACGTGCACTATGTTATTTTTCCATATCACCAGCGTTGAAGTTCTTTGCAGATGATGGTGTTCCATCCCCAGCTGTCTGCGAAGAACGAGTGTTTTTGCTTGAAGATGTCAACATAAAAGATTTCATTGCTTTTTTGGAAACCATTTATCCACCCTTTCATAACATCACAGGTGGGTACGATTTCTTTTAACATGAATCTAAACTTTTCGTCACAGGTGAAAACGTTGAAAGCGTATTACCGACGGCTTTTCGCTTTGATGTTGAGCACATTTTGAAAAAATGTGAAAACTATCTAAGGACTGAAGATGCTAGGAAATCGTTCGATCTTCTCCAAAGACTTGTGTTTGCCACAACTTACAAAATGGGTTCTCTTCAGGTTTGTTCTGGAAGAATACATCTAGAAAATGTATTCTTGCAAGTTTAGAACGATTGTCTGGCACTACTTCAAAATTCGTTTGATGTTTTGCTACTGCTAGACGATCCACGCGTGAAGAACGCATCCCCGGACTTGCGTTATCTACTGCTGGAAACGTTGCATAAACGTTTAGGTCCGAAGCAGGAACATCCCCTCTGAAGGCTTGTAATTTGGAGTCATTGCTTATTACTTGGGTGCTTGTGCGTTTGTCAAACTCTATTTCAGCGAATGGGGCATCTACGACCTCGAATGAGGGAAAAGCAGACCATTTGAGCAAAATCTGAACAACAATATCTACAGTTTTGGGATTACCTGGCTAAGAAGCCGAACATTCCTCCGATTTTTTGATACACATAATTATGGCTAACAACCTATTTGTAACTTCCATATTTTTATGTTAGTTGCGTGAGGTATAGTACTGTTGGTATTTTTAATCGTTTGCTCATTTAATCGTTTTTTGTGTATTTGCATGCTTCTCTTTTTTGCGGCATATGCCATCGAAATTGAAGTAAAGATTCGAAGTTGTTCTGAAGAATGTTTACTACACTTGGCGTAATCAGTTAACAAAAACCATGATCACAGTGACTAATAAATACGCATAACTTTTCGAACCTCGATTTACTAAGAGTGGTTGAACAATATTGTTCTTGGTTCCTTGGCTTCTAGAAACCAGTCATAATGAAATGAGATTCATGGTGATAATTACACCTTCTTTGGTTTAAGTAGCCGAACTCTTCCTGGAGGATCCAATGAAAGCGGCGCAGTAAGTCAATTTGACCTGATTGCAAATTCAAGCTACATATGTGACCGATTGGTTTTGATTGATAGAGAGAACGATGACGCTAAAAAATCAGTGGCTTGATATGAACCAGATTCTGAGATTTTACCTCATTGAGAAGTCCTCCTTATTTCCGGTACATTAAGCTGTCTCAAATGTTGTCCGTTTTTCGGACCTACTTGAAAGAGTACAGATGCATTAGACTCACATGTATCTTTTAAGACTTCTTTTCGCTTTCTAGCTACCTTTCCTTCCTGATCTTAGCAGTCTAGGCGATATTATCGCCATAATTCTTTGAGCAATCTTATCGTGACGCCAAAATCTATACAATCTGTTCAAAAAATTTCATCATGACATTTTAAAAGAGATGTTAGCAATTGTAGTAAACCTTTTGCTATATTTCGATTACTTTTGATCACATTTTGGAGCAAAATCTCAAATTATCTCAAATTCTTTAAAAATACCTTAACTTTTTCACGCACATATGATCCGGGGAGCTAAGATTCTAAACTATTTCGAGGCAGATCAAACTTGTTAATCCCGCATAAATGATTATGAAAAGTGTTTTGCTAAGTAAGTCTTCCATGATTTTGCTGCAGTACGTTTCATCTGAGGGGAGTCGAGATTTTCAAACAAGGGTAAAAGTAGAATCTTAGTACAAAAGTTGGCCTATTTTTATCTACTTTGAAAATCAAAACAAACTAGCGGAAATGTGGGCAAACAGAAATGACGGATGAAAAATTTTGGTAATTATCCGTTAGCACCAGTGAAAAGAGAAAAAAAAACTGCATTGAATTCATATCTGATTGCTTCATATTTTCCTAGCGTTTCATAGCATTCAAAAATACGGACAAAACTTTCGGAACTACCTAAGAATAATAAAAAGAAAGGTCAAAACAGACTCAACTCCAGAGTTTTTGAGCAAAACGTAGATTATAATAAATGACTTTTGTAGCAGCAAGGTGGGTATAATATTTCAGTATCTCTCTGCAAAGTTACTGGCTGCTTGCTTATATGAGGAATTGTACGGTTATATAAACTTCCCTTCCCCAGCGAGACAAAGCCAACCCCAGACTTTTCAGATAGACCCTTAATCTTGAAATTACGTTCATTAAAGGCAGTGGTTCGGCAAATTCTCGACCTGCAGTTTTCTCGCTTACCTGGGATAATTTGACACGCTGATCCCACCTTGAAGAGCGCGAAAATGGCGAAAACCAGCATTTCCAAAGCCCTCTCATTTTGAACTTGGACAAGTGGAACAATCCCCGTCATGGTTAGAGACGTAGAGTCGTTGCGAGACCCTCATGGTTATATCATTGCGGCACGCCGCCTCTGACGGTGGAAGAGGAATTGCATGCTCGTCCGAGCGCGTGTAAGAATTGCTTGCGCGTACCGGTTTAGGGGCGGTTTTCTAGACATGGGGAGCATAATGCGCTGTGCGCTCGGACCTTCTCTGTTCCCATGTTTGGGTTGCAAGCAACCCTCCATATCAAAATCTTGAGACGTTTGATTTTGCCGAGCCAGCCAGCCTTTAATAGTTGCGCTAGGAAATTACTTTCACCAAAACGCAAATTTATATTAAATCTTCAAATAAAATTAAAGGGGTTAAGTTCTGCTTGTATTGCCCAATGTATATTTTCATGTTCCTTTAGGAAGTCGAAAGCTTTTGCTTCAATAATACAGCACTGGCTGCAAGTCTGTTTGTGTAGTTTCAGCGCGTATGCTACAAAACTTTATCGCTTCGATAATTCAAAAAGAGAAAATTATAATTTCTGGTGATGTTTCATAAGATAAAGGGTAGATTAGCGCTCTACTTCGGCATCAAAACCTGCTCATAACATAGTACTATACATATTGTCTGCAAGAATACGCCGTATAGCAGACAAAGAGGCATAAATACAGCATAAGAAAGCTTTTCCTATGCTTTGTCATCAGCTCTAGGTCAGAAATGTAAAAAAGGGAATAATTTCTAGCATATATTAGGTCGTTCCGAAGGTAATGTCGCTTTTTCCAAGTGAACGCTACATTTCATGAAAGCAAGATTTATAGGAGATCTTGGTAGTGTTCGGTGCAGCATTTCATTCTCTTTCTAAAGGTTGTATGAGCTTTGCACAATATTCGATAAGCTCTAAAAAATACTAAAATCTGCGACCCATGCTTTAAAGGTTGAGTTTCACAATTTTTCTAAATTTTTGCAACAATTCTCCGAAGGAGTCCAAGTAACAGGCGGATTGAGCAAACCCTAATGGACACTGTACAATTTTTTTTTCTACTTTCCATAGCTCTTCATAATTTTTCTAGAGATTTTTCAATGGAATCACCGAATTTTGGCAGGCTTGTCTTAGACACTAATGCATCAAACACCAATAAATTTTCGGATTTTGAATCTTACAAAGGTGGATTGTGGTCTGACACTAATTTTACAAAGCAAATGAGCGTTTACCGCTTCAGATTAGCAAATTTTCGGAAATTTCGGGTACAGCCTGGGCCTGGAAAACCTGAATTATGTGATTTTATCACCGGAAAACTCAAGGAATCGGAAATCAAAAGCAACTGGTAAAAAGAAGAAAAAAAGCTGCGTGGAATGACACCCGAGTAGCTTGCCGGTTGTTGTTCTGTGAGGTTTGAGTTGACCAAATACGGAATTTGATAGCACTGAAAAATTGATTATAAAAATTCTAAGAAGCAAATTAAGGAAAAGTAAAAAGTTGTTTTGTGTCCTATAGGGTTTGCTCTATTTATCTGTTACTTGCACATCTTCGGGGAATCAGTACAAAAATATAGAAAAATGGCCGAACTTGACCTTGACAAAAATCATGAGTCCCAGGTTCCGGTAATTTTTTGAGAACCCATTGATTATTATGCAATGGAATTAAGACCATTAGAAAGAGGATAAAATGCTGCTCGACTGATCCCAACTGCTCTTGAAAATCTTGGCTCAGCGAAATGTGGCGTTCTTTTGAAAAAAGCGACATTACTTTCGGAACGACCTAATAGGTCATTCGGAAAGTTTTTTCGTTTTCGCACCTTTAAATTCAAACAAGCACAACTTTTTCCAGATCCAACCTTTTTCTTCCAAATTAACTTCATTGTGTTCAACAGAATTCTGGTAACATAACTGTGGTGTTCATGTGCTTTTTTCTTGCGAAATCATCTTAGGGAAATTAATAAAACCAAAAAAGGCATTTTTGACAAGCTAGTTTTTATTGGGTTCTATTATTTTCTGATAGGCACCGAGGAATTGGAGAATTTGGTGGCTGGTAAAGGAAGGCCCATAGAATTTGAAAAATGACAAACCATGACAAACAGGAACTTCGGTGCGCGGTCAACCCCTTTTGTGAGGCCACTTTCCTTACATGTGGTTTGACGGCGTCATAGGCGAGGATGGCACGTTTCATAGATTATACGTGCAAGTCTGCTCAGTTTTGAAAATTTGGCAAACGGTTTTTGGAGCGATATCATACTACTCTGCTCTTACACCACAGCCACATCTTAGCAAATTTATAGCGTGCAAGACTAGCAGGATTACTTTAAGTTGAGCACATCAACCCTTTGTAATGACTTACTGTTCATGGCCATGCTTGCAATGCTTGTTCCAAATGATTTACCTCATTGTTGCTTCCTTTAGGTGTACTTGGCCAATTTTTTGTTGTAATCATCAATCCAGGCCAGTGCGACAATTTGTGAGGTGTATGCCCCTAACATTTTTTTGCTATTGCAGCTCTAGCGACGGTGGCTTCAAATGGGATTATATGACACTACAAGGCCTGCTCATTTTGTGCAGCTATATTTGCGATTTGCTTCAAAGGACCCCTTGAGATGCTCGTTTGTATGGCAGGAACACCTTCCAGAACAGTGCATAACATTAGTTTCCACTTCTCTAGATCTGGACTTTTTGAAGCAGACTTCAACCAACGTCAAGAAAGACGTGGACTTAGAGTGCATTGCGCACAATGATGGCCTCTTTGACTGCCTTACACTCAAGACTAAGCTTAAAGAGTGCAATTATTCGAAAATCGCGCTTTCATATGTTGAATTTATAGCCACGTAAACTTCCCTACAACTTCCCTACGTTTTCTGCAACTTCGTGAGATCCTCAGAAACTAGAAGACTTCCTCTACAGTTTCATATACAACCCCTATCAGCCCTCTGGCACTCTTTTAAAACATGGCACCAACATCAAAGGCGCAAAAAGCGAAAAAAAACTTTCCGAATGACCTAATAATAGAATGCAACGTTCTAATGAGATGTACTTCACGAAATATCACAGATCGTTCCTACTCTTCCCTTTTTGGAGGCATTTGCTTTTGCTCACGCAGCTCCTGCCATTTCTTCAACATACCTGAAAATATCAGGACGATGTTTACGTAATGTGCGGTTGTTTGTATGTTTGTGATTTCCACGTAGTTTACTCGTGCTCTCGAGTATAGCGAAGAATATAAATTGCAAAACTTATCGATTCATTTTTTGTCCCAAGTACGTATAAGGACCGATTTCGTAGGAAGGCGGATGCCCATACGAAAAGTGGTTTGCATAATTTTGGGCAAATTTTTCGATCTATCGAGTTATTGCATT